GTTCGTTTAATGATAAGAAGATTGGAATCCAATAGTTAGCTTTTGTTCTTAGTTTGCTATTTCCTTAGTTATTTCCTTGAGAGTTCTTGCGTTTTATTCCTTTTTACGAGAAAACCCTAAAAACGCCATCCCCCTATGTCACATTACCGTAACAGTTGGTATCCAGAGCCTGGTTCTCGGGATGGCGAGTAAGCAACAACAACCATCAAAATCCAGGGGAGCGGACGACAGTAGCGGCGACGGGTCGGAACCCAACCATCCCCAGCCACGACCGCACGCCATGGAGGAGCGGATTGGGAGCTTGGAGGGTCGGCTCAATCCTTTGGTCGAGCGGGTCGAAACCTTAGACTAGAAGCTCACCGACGTCACAAGGTTGATGGCTGAAGGTTTTGCCGCAGCAGAGTCGATGAATGAGCAGCGATTCACAGCCTTGGAGGACTTGGTGCGAACCATCGCGATGTAGACAATCTCAGCAACAGATCGCCGACTGGAGGCTTTGGACGACGCGCTCGAGCGAGACAGCAGTGCAATCGTGACTCCAATTGCAGCCCGAGTTCACGAGCGACCAACAACAACGGCAACAGAGAAGCTGAAGGGCCCTCTGATTGAGGAGGACAACGGCGGGGTTAAAACTAAACTGACGACTGGCATGGGGTCGCCGATGGACGGCGACAACGGAGGAAAGATGGGCAACGACGGCAACACCAGTGGAAATGCGGCGCTGGAACTTGGCTGGGGTAACCTCGCCGTGTCAGAGGTTCTGATCAGCGGAAAGCAAGGAGGTTCGGCGGGAGGAAGCTTACCGGCGAAGATGTCAGGGAACGCGGGGGCGATGATGGGAATTACAGGCGTAACTACACCGGGTTGGGTCGGACCGTTGGGCTATGACATCGGGCTGTATGGACCAACACGGCTAGATCGGGGTTGGTTGGGACGAACAATTGGGCTTGACCCATTTACCAAGGGCCGCCAGGATTCGGGCCACCGGGCCTCAACGTAGGCTCGAACCCAAGAGTTGGGCTTTCGATTACTAGGTTGCTACAGTCCATGGTCGGACCCGGGGTGGGTGTAAGCCCCACTTCGAGGCAACTAACGAGCGGGAACGGAGGATCGGGACCCATGGCCATCTGGATCGGAGTTCCAGGCGCAGGGGAAGGGCTGCCAGGGTTTGGCTTCCAACACTTCAATGGAGGAATGGGCTCAACGAGCAATTGGGTCGGAGCAAGTGGAATAGGGGCCCAAGGAGGACGCGACAGCGGAGCCCAAGGAGGAAAAAGTGGCGGGCCGGGAGAGAACGGGTTGGTCGGTGGCGGATTGGGCTGGGTTCCGCAACCTGGCTTGGGCAGCACGTCTAGGATGCCAACCGGGCCGACTGGAATGGGCCTGGGACTCAACTAGGGCCAGATACCGAATGGGGGAGTCGGGACCGTGGCCGTCTGGGCCGGGGCCACACGCATAGAGCACGAGCCAACAGGGAGTGGGCCTGTCGTGAGCGGGCTTGGAGCAAACTGGCAGGCGCCAGTCAGGCCGCCGACTGGTCCACCGTCTGGGCCGCTGGGTCTTGGGGAAACGCAACCGGATCAGGAGAAGGAGAGCGTGGTGGGCCGAGCGGAAAAATGGAGGAGAAGAGTGGGTGGTTTAAACCCAAATTAGCCCAACTTGAGTTCCCAAAGTACAACGGGAGTGAGGATCTGTCAAGCTGGTTCGCAAGAGTGGAGCAGTTTTTTAGATTCCAGGAAACCCCAGAGGAGCACAAGGTGGCTCTCACGTCATACCACATGGAGGGAGATGCGAATCAGTGGTGGCAGTGGTTGGAACGCAAGTACCTCACATCGAGGCTACCAATCACGTGGGCGCGATTCAGAGAAGAGCTATGGGCTCGATTTGGCCCAGCAGAAGGAGCATCTAGCTACGAGGCTCTCGCAAAATTAAGCAGACTGGGTCGTTAGGCGACTATTTATTGGCATTTGAAAAGCTGGGCAATCGCTGTATTGGGTGGACTGAAGAAGCCTTGGTGGGATCATTCATTGGAGGGCTTAAACCAGAGATATCTGATGCGATTCGAATGTTTCGACCAGAAACGGTGCGGGAGGCTATTCGTCTTGCCAAGGTAAAGAATGAAGAACTAAGCAAGCATCGGCCAATGGCTAAAGGAGCACCTCGACACGGGATGGAGGCTGGGTCGTCATCAACAGCTACACCCACACCACCAACGCCACGTCGACAACCAGCGGCACGCCGAATGTCGCAAGAAGAAGTCGCTCGATGTGGCGCACAAGGATTATGCTTTCATTGCGATGAGCGCTTCACCATTGGTCATCGTTGCGCCAATAACAACGTTCTTCTTATGACTGGCGCATGCGGTGAAGGCAAGGAGTGCACGTTCATCGAGGAGGAAGACCAACCTTGAGGGTAAGGTTGTGCTCAAGGAGGGAGGGACATTACGAGATCGGGCCATCGTAGCATTTCGTAGGAGACTAGGATTGCGTATCTTTAGTATTTTATTATTATATTATTGCGTTATTATTATTATTGTCTTTATTATTGTTTTCCTTGTTCGTATAGGATTTGGTTATTTGTTGGTAATATACTTAGAGGTTTAGGAGTCATAATCTAGATAGGTAAAGGTAGTGACTTTGTGCCTATACATATGTACTTGTTTCGTTCGTTTAATGATAAGAAGATTGGAACCCAATAGTTAGCTTTTGTTCTTAGTTTGCTATTTCCTTAGTTATTTCCTTGAGAGTTCTTACGTTTTATTCATTTTTACGAGAAAACCCTAAAAATGCCATCCCCTACGTCACATCACCGTAGCAGAGGGGGGGGGGGGGGGGGGCTGAGAGGGAGAGGGTTGCTATGCTCAATTTTCTTGGTAACCTTTGTGTCACTCGGATGAGTTGTCGGCCGAGCCGTATTGTCTGGTCTCCAAAACCCAAGTCTGTTTTTCTGTCAAGAACATGTACATGTCGCTGATTAAGAACCAGTATGAAGGTTTGAATGAGTTCCCGATTGAATTTGTGTGGAGGAGGATTATTCCATCCAAGATTTGCGCGTTCGTGTGGATGGTGGCTTACAAGAAAATCCTTACTATTGACAACCTCAAGAGACGAGGATGGGCAATGGCGAACAAGTGTCCCCTTTGTTTGAAAAGCGAAGAGTCGATTGACCACATTTTCGTGGACTCCAACTTCACCAAGGAAATTTGGACCAAGGCATCTAGAGTTTGTGACAGTGTCGTTCCACCTGATAGAGAAATTGTTTCAACGATCTGGAGATGGTGGAATGACACTCCGGACAGCACCAAAGGGCAGGTTGTTTACTGCTTACTACACACAATTTGATAGGGAATATGGCTAGAGCGGAATCGGAGAATTTTTCGTGACCTCAAGTCGTCCTCCAACGATGTTTTCTACAGGACAATGAGAGCAATTACGGTGGATTGTTGCACAGGGCAAGACAAGGAGAGATAAGGGAAATGAGTAGTTGAGAAACTGTTAGTCTGTCTTGCTTTGTTGTTTTTGTTTTCCTCTATGGTTTTGTGCAGCTGGGCAGCCCGTTTTGGCTGTTTTGTTTTTAGCTGCCTTGTTGTTTCTCTCCTTTCTTTCTTGACTTCTTACTTCTTGTGAGTTGTGAGAGCCTTGTTTGTTTTCTTTTCTTTTTTCACTTCCTGTTTGCTTCACTTTTTTTTAGGTCAATGAATTTTCACCCTTATAACAAATGACACTTTCACTAAAGATTAGTTTTTCTAGTGGTATCAGCGGTTATTATTATTGTTATTAATTTCATACACTCTGTTGCATATTGGATGCGTGGGTTGGGTTGGTTCACCTTTTTTCCTTTTCCCTCCATAATGATAATAATTCTTTCCATCTACCTAATTTCTTTTCTATGCAACTTCTTTGGTAATTTATTTATTTTAATTTTGTGAGGTTTCAATTGGTAGCAGTGTAATAAACCTGCTATATTTATTACTGGTGCTATTTCTTTTTAAGGAAATGAGAAGAAAATTAAGGGGCAAATCATTAAATTCATTTCCAACCCCATCCACCATCATCATCATCATGGGGTTCACACTATTGCAATAACTCGCTCACTTACTTCTCCCAAATTTAAGCAATTCATTTCCGATTGATTTTCAAATTCATTCCTTTTTTTTTTTTTTTTCAAATTCGAAACAAACGGCCCATTTCATCTGCCCAGCCTTGCTCTCTCTCCCAACAACAAACAAGGACAGGACAAGACAAGAGAAAGAGAAACCCACAATTTTGCTCGACTCCCCTGCTGCTTCCTCTTCTCTTCTCTTCTCTCCCTTCACTGTGTTTTTTTTTCACCCCTCAATGAGCACGCAATGGACGAGTCCGAGCAGCAGGTTGATGAGATGGCGAGTCCGAGACTGGGTTTCTTGTTTCCTCGCTTCCCGGATTCCTCCTCTAGGTAACGTAAAAAGCATATGAGCCTAAATATTGTTATGCAATGATTTCTTCATGGGTTTTGTGTTTTGTACGTAGATGATGACGCGGCAAATGGTAATTTCCGGAACATGGTGTGCGAGTGCAACGTAAATGACGGCGGCACAAGGCAATACCGGCGGAAAAGCAGGCGCAGGAAGGAGCGACGGATCCTAACTGACGGCGAGACTGATCATGACGACAACAACACTAATGATAATGTTAGTGGCGGAGGAGTTTCCGGCTCGAAATCGACGGGGAACGGAGAGGCGACGGAGGAGGAGGAGAGGGAGCTGTGCGTTGTTGACGGCACGGGGACTGGGAGGCGACGGCGGCGGCACCCGGACGATGATAATCGTCAGGAGGAATATATCGTGTTCCGCTTTGGTGAAAACGGTGCTTTTGAAGTTGTCAAGGACGGCCGGCACAGAAACAACTATAAACCTCAGAATCATACCAACGCAGCGGAAAGTAATTTGGAAGTGGTTACCAATACCGCCGGCGGGAGTTCCTCCTCTGCCTCCAAGCCCACTGTCAACAGAAAGGTACTGACTTAACTTAACAATACTCTTTTCCTTCCTTTGAAACAGCTTTTACCTTGCGATCCAAGGACTTCTGTTTGTTGTTGGATAACTGTCGCTTTATATTGCTTTTCCAATTAGTTGAATTATGGCAATCAGGAAAATGGTAGGAGGGATGAATCATCATCAGCAGCAGCAGGGAAAGGGAGATGGGAGGAGAAGTTACCATTGCCAACTGCTCATCAGCATGGCATTGTTGGGTCAAGTGTAAAACCAGAGGTGCTTCATTCTCAGCAGGTGGAACATGTATATGACACAAGCACATTAGTTAGTAGAACTCCATCCATCATTGCCTACCTTGTTTTGTTTCATTCATTTCCTCTTCTTATAGGGAGAAGAGAACTGCAGCTTCAGGCGGCATCCATTGGGGGAGATAGACAGAAACCAATTCGGGACCTCCGCTGCCGCCGAATCCGGCAGCAGCAGAGACAATTCGCAGTCCTCCAGCTCTGGCTCCTTTTCCTTCCCTGTGTAAGTAAAAGCATCAGCTTCCTGTCAGTCATCCACAACTAACTGATAATCCCAATTCCCTTTCACTAAACTAAGCTAACACACAGAGAAGCACCTTTGATACTAACGTTATCTACTTGCTTCATGAGTGCATGCAGATTGCAGTGGGAAGAGATGGTAGGGAGCCCAGTACAAATGCCAAAACCAGAAGACAACTTTCACCTGCGGAAGCACAGGATGAATTGTGCTCGTTTCCAGTGCTGTAGATTTCGAAGAAACTCCATCGACTGAGATCCCCTTCTTGTTGCTTACCTTTGACATGCTTCTTCTACATGAGCTATATAGGAATAGGACAGGCTAGTGCTACAGTAATCCTCCAACAGGATTTCTTTTTTTTTTGTCCCCTTCATTTTCTTATCATCAGAACTCGGAATACATCAATCACAATGTACTCTCTTCTACACATAGTAAAACTGATCTGTTCAATAATTTTGCAAGCTGAAGATTTCAATAAGTATGTGGATTAAACAGATTAGCACCATCAACACAATAACTTTGCACACTAACCACACTATACTTCTAAAAACACCCACAAGTTATGAAAATGAAACACTCCCACAGCTTCGGAAACAGACAATCTGTTAGTTATAGCTTACAACCGAATAAGAAGACCCTAGCGCACAGGTACTATGCTTGAAGAAGAATCAGAAGCCATAGCATTGGTCAGTTTCTTGAATGGATTTGCAGCACTAGGCTTACAAAGTAGAAACTGAAGGTGTTGTCTAGCAAGCGCAGCTGCAATAATGGATTCCTCATCACGCTTTTCTTTCGCCGCAGCAACAGCTGCAATGTAACTTATGCGTGCCTCTTCCATTTCCCTAATGTCCGTATCGTCCAAATCGTCCTGTACGAGATTAAGTTAAGAAAAGTCCATTTCTTAGATAATAAAGACTCAACTGAGGGAGAATCAGCTAATCACTTAATAATGTCTGCAGGTAAGTTTATCACTTACAATGTCAGGATCATAGTCTAAATATGTTGGCTTGCTGTCATAATCTTCACTGAGTGCTGACATATCACACTTTGTCAAGCCTTCAAATAACAGCATCAATGACGAGATGTTTCCTTGAATGGAATCCAGCTCTCCCTGAAGCTTCTCAGCCTTTTTGTTCGATGTCATTGCTTCCCATTGAATCCTCTCTAGTGCTGCCTGCTTGTCTGCCAGTTTTATCTGCAGAAAATTCCAGCAACAGTTAGCATGTCTTATGTATGATAGGAAGAATGAAAAAGATAGCATAAGCTTGAGACACAGGTAAATATTAGTTCCATTTAAATGTGTGGCTTTCAGTTAGGCTTAGCCATGCAGCTGGGATAGAACTCGGCTAATAACGCCCCCAAACTTTTCTCAAGATATAAAGTATAAACAAAGACATTTTATTAAACAGAATGTACTAATTGAGCATAAAGCTGTCACTTCTATCATTGCCGACACTCCTACCTAAATGATTTAGTGAACCAGAAGTATGATAATAGCAAATATTTGCCTTTGTTTAGCCAATCAAGGTCAAGTGATATACAAGTACCTTGGCATCAGAGAGTTGCACTTGATGGGACCTTATTAAAGACTCCTTTTCAGAAACCTGCTGTTTCAGTTCATTTAACTCAGCTTGAATTGCATCATTCTGGCTTTTTGATATCTCCAATGATTTTGCTAACTCGTCTTTTTCGGATAACTTCTTCTGCAGATCTTCCACTTGTTCCCTCAATGTGATTAACTCATCTGTGTTATTGTCGGCAGCAAAAGCCCTTGAGGTAAACACTGTGAAGTCGCTGGCATCTTGAGTATTTCCAACACTCTTACTTTCATCCTTATCTCCACGATCCCCTTTCTTTTTGGCAGGAATAGATTGAGTTGTATTCCTATTCCTACGATCAATCACCTTCAATGGACATAAAAAGAGCAGAGTCGCCAACAGCTCGCTCAAACAATCAACCCATTTAACTTTTAAGACATAAAAATTCAAGGCAAACTATCAACTCTCCCAATACAAGTGAACAAGTGAGAAATTCACAATCAGGAAATTAAGCTGCAATCCGGATGAGCGAACTCACCTTTTTGGACAAAGACTCTCTGGAAGGCGTCTTGGTATATACTATTGAACCCCGCCGCGTAAAAGAACTGCTGGCTTTCCTGTCCTGAACCACATCAAGGTTAAACAAATAGAAAGGACCCAAATATCTCAATACAGCAAAAGCCCTATTTATAGGTAAGAAAGCTGCAAAAGGTTCCTAGGCCTTCAAAGAGATCCAAATCCTAACTCTGCCCTAATCCCATTAGCATTACCAAGGCTCCAATTCTGAATTTTCCAATTCAACTAATCGCCATTGAACCCAGAAACAGTTGAAAGAATCCTCTAGAAAAAGAAATGGAGAAATCGCATGAGAGAGAGAGAGAGAGAGATGGAAATTACGATGAGGGACTGAACAAGAGGGACGATCTCGACCAGATCGTTGAAGAGAACACGATGGAGGTTGCCATTTCCACCGCCATTGGAAGTAGATGCGGCGGCGGCACAGTGGGCGGCAATCTGGGAGCTGGTTAATTGGGAGTGAGTTGGGGAAGAGTTTGGAGGACCAGAAAGCCACGATTTGGAGTCCTCCCCGAAACTTGGATCCCCTCGCAAATCCACGAAATTCTGCGGATCGAACATGGCTGTTGATCTTGGAGGACTCTGTGAAATCTTGCTTGCGATAAGAAAAAGGTACTCGAGAGATGGAAACGAGAATGCTGCCTGCGTATGGAATGGTACTGGAATGGACTGGAGCGGAAAAAGGTAGCACAAGTGGAAGTTGGGGATGAAAGAGAAGAGAAGAAGATTTGTTTAGCGACTGAATTTTGAATTCCCGACCCTAGTCCCGGATTGGATTTTACTCGATCCGTGGTTGTAGTCTTGTAGAAACCATACCGACTGGTCGTTTCGACCGGAAAAATCGAATATTGGAGTCTGGATTGAAATGATAACTTGGATATAATTTTAAGTTAGATAATTTGTAGAGATCTAAACGATTAAAATCGATCAGATTTATTTTAAATAATTTATTAAAAAAATAAGTATAAATCAATGGCAACAAGGATTGCCGGCAAGTTTGTCAACCCGCGGGCTGACCTGGACCCGGTCGAGCTAGTGGGTGAAGGGTTAATGGGTCACCCATTTTAGTCCGGTTTAGCCCGGAAGTATGAAAAGAGTCATTATATTGTACTTATCCTCATAAATTATATCAAATATCATCTAACATGAGTTATAACATATAATATGCCACCAAAATAACATGAATTACTTAGATCCAACATATAGTGAAAATTCACACACTTTTATAACATCAATATTCAAATGTTCAACTTAGAATTCTGAAAATTGAGTTAGGCGAAAAGAAAAATAAAAAAATAGGCGCATTGCGCAAACCAAAGAAAAAAATGAGACAATTTGACCTCCAACCCGGTACCTTGTAGCGGTCGACCCACCGGGTGCGTGCGGCCCATTTTTCTCACTGGGCCATGGTCAAAGTGGGTCGACCAGCAGGTCAACCCGCGGATTAACAACCTTGGTTGCCGGTCAACACATTCTCAATTTACCTTTTTATTTTTTTCTTTCCTTTTTCACATTTAGTTGATTTTCCTTATTTTATCCTTTCATTTTTTTAATTCTTATGGAATTAGAAGCGTTACATAAGGCTTCCGTAATAACTTAGCTCTTTACGTAACATGATGTTAATACTCATTACGTAAAGTGACCTTTCATTAAGTAAGATTTTTGTAATGACAATTTACAAGCGTTACGTAAAATACACCTGCATTACGTAAAAGTTACGAAATGATAGTTATTTATTATGTAATAGTTAAATCCGGAGTGTTCCGTAAGGCTTCCGTAATGACTTAGCACTTTACGTAACGCGGGGTTAATACTCATTACGTAAAAAGACCTTCCATTATGTAAAGGTTACGAAGCGACAGTTATTTCTTACGTAACAGTTAAATCAGTAGCGTTACGTAAGGCTTCCGTAACGACTGAGCATTTTACGTAACGCGAAGTTGGTACTCATTACTTAAAGACACATTCTATTACGTAAGGCTTCCGTAATGATCTTTTACAACTGTTACGTAAGATTACCATATTATATGTAACCATTACGTAATGTCTATTGTAGTTTACGTAATGCGACATGTGAAACATGCTATAACAGGTAAAAAAATTCAAGTTACCTTACTTCAAGTTACAATAGGAATCCTTGAAATTATATAGTCAAAGAATTAATGCCATATTTGGTGTTTATTATTCCAAAATGTGTGTGTAAGCAATACATGTATTGTAGAGAATACACAGTTTTTTGTGTCAAAATGAAATAGAATGTATCAATGTTGTGAAACCAAACCGGAGTATAAACCGGTATGGTGAGCGACTCACACTTGAGCCGTTAAAAAACTGTAAATGGACCAGTACCTTATATATACTAATTTTGCACATTCCATACCTCGAGGTAGGGATGGGTTTGGCGCGGGTTTGCCTAAAATAAGGATGGCAAACATATCCGTAACCGTGGATATCCGCCCGAATCCGACCTAATCGGGTAGGGGAAAGCTCGAACCCGAAGGACTTTTAGTGGGTACGGGTAAAACCCGAACCAAAATATTGTGGGTAATGGGTGGGCATGGTTTTCTCACTATCCAACCCGAACCCGCACGATTATACACAACCATATGTATTTTGTCTAGAAATAATTTTTATTTTTCTCTAACATATTTTATTTTTAGCATATAAATATAATATTTTCATGAAATTGTGTTGTTTTAATTTATTTTCTTCATTCTAGTGAATTATTGTCATAAATTTCCTCTTACGTAATGTTAGTATACGTGTGAATAACATATTGGTTTGAGTTATAAAAAAATTTATTACCCATGGATAACCGTGGATACCCAAAACCCGAGTGGATGTAAATTTGGTTTTGATTTTCTACCCATTTCTCACGTGGGTATGGGTATGGGTAAAACCCGAACTAGTTTGGGTAGGGTAACGGATATGCACTATCTGCTTCCGACCCGAGCCGTTTCCATCCCTAGCCTAAACCAACCTCATCCCCATTTTCAAATATCCAAACCCAAACCCACTTTATACCCATGCGGTGGAAGGTTTTACAAATCCATACCCACCCACGATTTTCATATACCCATGGGTAATCACCACTCCATCAACTACTCACCATTAATAAAAGAATATGGTGACAAATATGGATTTCACCCGCCCAAAATTATGGAACTAATACATAAGAGGATGAAATTAGGGTTTGGTTGCCATCAATTACATTTTAACACTTTGTTTTTTCTTTTAATTACCCTTCATTCCATTGACAAGTTACCATAAACTCCTTATATTTTATGCATATAACATAATATCCTTGGTGGGGCGGGTTTGGGTATGAGTATGGGGCGGGGGAGTCCAAAACCATACTCGCCCATACCCATCAACCTTTTTGCGGGTTTTATCCACACCAGCCCATACCTAGTCAAAGCGGAGATTTCCCGCGTTGATTGGGTCGGAGGCGGACCTTTTGCGGGATTTATCCATACCCTCCCTATACCCAGTCAAAGCGGGGATTCCCCGCATTGACTAGGTCGGAGGCGGTCGGGTATCCGCGACCATGGGTTTTGTTTTTTTTCCAGAGAAAGAGGTTTACTACCTCTGTTGCCTTTATTAGTAAGTCAAATGGCTCTTATCAGCTAAAATCGTCTGCAGAATAACACGGGGTACATCACCCTACCCAAATAATTTAATCATTCATACTGATTGAGCTATGATCAACATTATGGGCCACCATATTTGCTAAACGGAAAATTAACCTCCATTCGCGACAATCTCCTTCATATGTTGCTTGCTATATGTTTTCGCAGAGGATACCAGTCTCTTAAAAAGGCTCATCACCATTCAGTTTATTTATAAGGTTCAAGCAATCTGATTCCAGAATATAAGGTCCCAATTGAGCTTCTTTCATTTTATCAATGGCAAACAACATTGCATTCGCCTCTGCGCTTTGGGAGACCATTTTATTGCCACTCTTTTGACTGCTGTCAGGGTGATGTTTCCTTCCCAATTTCTCGCAACCAGCCCCAACCCCATTCCCAGGTCTCTAAGGCAACCTGCATCAGCGTTTACCTTTAAATAGCCAATGGGCGGGGGATTCCATCTCACCTCTTGCTGGGCTCGACTTCCACCTGTTGTTGCACTACTATGCTGTGCATCTCTGTAAGATTGGATGAATAATTAGAACTTCCAGAACATCTCCTCCTCTTCAAGTTTCGGGCCGTTATGTTGATGATTATTCCATTCAATCCATAAATACCATAACAAAGCTGCAATTCTACCCATATTCTCATCCTCTTCCTCTGTCAGAAGTTTCCTCAGCCAAACATCCATCCGACAATCATCTGTCACTGAGAGTTTATCGGCCCAGCCACTTCTATGTCATATACGGAGTGACTATTGGCAGAGAAGAAAGCGATGGACGTGAGTCTCTTTCTGACCAGAGTAAGGATAGTCTGGCTCAACTTTTTTTTTTTTGAGCTTCTTCTCCACATTTGAAGCTGTTGGGAGGATGTTGTGCATTAGCTTCCAGAGAAAGTAGTGAACCTTTGGTGGAGCTTGCACTTTCCACAATTTGTTCAAAGTATCAGAGTTGATTCCCCCGAATTATTCATCTTCCTCTTCCTCGTTGTTTGTTTGACTCTCCTCCTGCGTATCCATTTCCAGAGCTCTATGATAGTTTATCTTGACGATGTATTTTCCATTCTTTGTGTGCATCCAGCATATGGCATCAAGAACTAGATGGATGGGAATAGGGATGGCCATGATGGCTGCTTGTTTTGTTGGGGCGAACAGAACCTCTAGGAGATCCCTCCTTCAACATCTCTGCTCATACTCAATCAAATCAAAGACTTTTTCCACACTTCTTTGCCAATCAGAGGTTTGGTTTCGCTTGTTTGTGGGATAGTCTGGGATCTATTTATCTTTGCATATGTTGATTTTTGTACCCATTCCCACTCCTCGTCTACCTCCCGAAGCGATCATGTCCCTAGCCGATAAAAGGCTCTTCCATATGTAGCTAGGCTACCACCCCACCGGAGCTTCCATGACCGAGCAGTGAGGGAAAAAACAGGCTTTGAGTAATCTACTTACTAGGGTTGTTGGAATTTGGAGGATTTTCCATAATTTCTTCCCCAACAAGGCTGTATTGAAAGCTTCCAAGTCACGTAGACCAATTCCCCCTTCTTCCTTACTCTTACATAGTTTTTTCCATTTCGTCCAGTGGTTTCGACCTTCATTTCCTTGTTGATCCCACCAATAGTTTGCAATCAACATATGTTCATCTCATGCACTAGTCCCTTAGGTAATCTGAATACATACATTGCATAATTACCTTGAGCTATGACCACAACCTTAATGAGCACATCTTTCCCAGCAGTGGAAATTAATTTCCCCTTCCATCCACTAATCCTTCCTCGAATCCTCTCCTTTATAAAGTTGAAAGTCACCTTCTTCAATCTTCCAATGTCTGTTGGTAACCCCAAGTATTTTTCATGCTTTGAAACTTCCCGTATGCCCAAGTAATCACTTAACTATTGTCATTGTGGTGGTCAGATGTTCTTACTAAAAGTTAGCTGTGATTTGCTAAGATTCACCATCTGCCCCGTCTCAGCTTCGTAGTTCTGTAGAATCTATTTAAGTTTCTGATAGTAATACCATGGATATCCCCTTTCTTTACAACTTATGTGATCATCGAGGATAGACCTTCCGCACACAATAAGAACATGTAAGGAGAAATCGCATCCTCTTGTCGTAGGCCTCGGGTAGGAAGGAAAGTTT